CATACTCTGAAACTTTAAAAAAATAAAGAGGCTTTGGTGTTCTGACACTGTGGAGTATAGCCACAGGCTGTAAATAGAGTTCCAAGAATAAGTTAGAGTCCCTGCCATGCTGTTTAAATCCAAACCTAGTAAAAATAGTTCAGTCAATTTCTAGAACTGAATTCAAATTATTTTTTAACCTGTAGTAAATCTTTCTACAAAGAGTAGCAAATAAGGTCGGTGTTTAGTGACTGTGTGGGGCATCCTCCAGTGTGTTGGAGGTTTGTGCATGACTATAATTAGCCATGAAACCATTGGCCAAAAATGTAGTGATTTCAAGGAAGATCTTGTGACTTGGGTCACAGAAATATGTCACATGAGAAGAAAAGTACTGAATTTCTACATTTACCTGTCCTGCCTAAAATTCTCCTAGGCAAAATATTTTTGTTCTTTTACATCCTTTGTTGTAAAATACACATTAGAATTTTCAATTTTAAAAATAGACTCCAAGAAGGTTTTTTAAAACGAGAAGCTATGTTTTGACCCCACCGTGATGCTGATGTTGCCTGTCTCTGAGGGCTGCACGCAGCGGGACCACCCAGGGGCTCCTGCCGGCGCCGCCTCCGCCATCGTGTCAAGTGCGGTGGTTGCAAAGTAACACAAGGGCATCAGGGGGGACGGAGTTGATGGGGACCAGGAAGGAGAGAAGAGACGGGCCAGCACTCTTCCCTGCAGCTTGCCAGCTGGAGTGGCCTAGCAGGGGTGATCAGGGCCATCTCTGGGAACCAGATCTGGGGTGCCTCTTCCCAGTTCTTCCTCCCCGAGAGACCACATAGGGTTTCGTGCAGCGGCCAGAGTCCTGACTTCTTCCCCGGACTTGGAGTCCCTGCTTGAGGGAAGCATGCCCTGAGTCCACGTGGGGAGGAAGCCCAGATCACACCACAGCATCTTCCCTCGAGGGTGTCTTCTCGCAGGTGATGGATGAAAATTGAAGCCCCAGAACCAGCTGTCCCATAGCTTATCAGCTTTGCTAAGTAGCATCCAGAAACACTGCAACCATAAGCCTTGCTTGAGCCGAGGGTATGTAGTAATGACCCATCTCCACAAACACCTCACCACCACAGGAAGTCCAGTCACGGAAGTGATCGCATTTCCCTCTTGTTGGTAGGGTTGAAGGTTCTCCAAAGTGAGGAGCTCAAGTCACTGTGAAGCAGCCATTTCATCCGAGGCCCTTTGGCCCGTGGCTCTGTCCCGCAGCTGCTGGTACGCCACGGCCTCCTCGGACTCCGCCAGCCTTCCTTATAGTCAAAGGAATTTGGTGGAATGGATGTTTTGTTGAGGAGTCAAGATTTTTCATTTAAACATCTGCTTTCTTGCCAGCACAACACAGGGCCCATCCCTGGTCATTTTCAGGCCAGGACTAATGGAGAGAGTGTCAGTGAAAACTGGTGCCCAGCCAGCTCTGGGTGGTTTTGCTTTCTAGGGTGTGAGCAGCCTCCTACTAACATAGAAGGTTCAGGCATCATCCTTTACCCTCAGAAGACAGAAGACGCTCGGTGGTTCCTCCAGGTGTGTGTTTTCCAGAGTGGGTGCTGATCCCGGAGTCTCGTGAGGGTGGATCTTTCTCTGCATCCTGACTCTGTAGTCTCCCCAGCCCCAGTCGCTGCCTTTTGCATGCTAGTGATCACAAAAACTCAGCTAAGGAGAGCTCCGGGCAGTTAGGAGACTGGGTCCTGCAGAGCCGTGGATGGAACAGTCGGGGGCTGCTGTGTGCTTAGGACACTCGCTGAGTATGGGCCATCCCCACACATCTCTTAGAAGCTGAGCCATGTGTTACGAGGTATAAGGATCAGAGCCAGAGCCGCACTTCATGTAGATTGAGATGATTCATGCAGAACCCTGGGCACCTCATCTTACCAGCAGGGAGCGAGCATTCAGGGAGGAGCTGTCATCATCATCATCAGGAGATGGTCTTTGTTGGCCCTTTGAGGGATGGTGTGATCAGGGCTGATGGGGGTGGGCTCTTGCACTCCTAGGTCTTTTGAAGAAACCTGCAGTCTCTGGACAAGCAGCCCCTCTTATCAAGCAGCCCCTCTTATAAAATCCTCAGCCCAAACAGTCTTACTCTGGCTGTAAATAACAACCCCCGCTGCAGAGTGCAGCCACTTTGTCAGAGGCAAAGCCGGGCACCAGCCAGGTCCCAAAATAAACTTCAGGCTGTGCTGAAGTGGTGTTCCTGTTCAGTGCCAGCTCTGCCTCTCTCCCTGCTCCTATGAGTAAGTGTGGTCTTACCGGCCCGGAAATGCTTCTCTGGGGAAGCAGTAGAGACCAGACTTGTTGGAAACGGTATGATAATGAGCCTCACGTCTGCAGAGCAGCCAGAGAGGCACCGAGCTCTGGTGATTAGAGAGCAGACCCTTGTGTCTCCCCACCCCCTCGAGGAACTTCTCCAGCTTGGCTCCTGTCCCAGCATGACTGCATAGCTAGAATACCAGAGCTGCTCAGGAGCCAGGGAGGGGAAGGGCTGGGACACTGGGTCCAAGATAGCCCAGCCTCCTCCCTTTCTCCTGGTGGCTGCCCCTCCTGCAGTGCACCCCCCGGTGCATCCCTGGGCCAAGGCTGGTGCTTGCTACTCTTCCATACTCAGAACTGGGGTGCTGCTGAGGCCGGCAACACTCCAGGCACTCTAATCGTATTAGAAGCAGTTCCTAAGATTCCTCCCTTCATGAGATACCTATTGGGCCCTGTTAAGTGCCTCAGCTCTGTTGTGTCGAGTGGCTCCCAGATTGGCATTGGGAAGGCAAGGGAGGACAGCTGCTGTTTCTGTGGTGCTTGTCACGTGCCAGGCTGTGCCCAGCACTCACAGGGCAGCACTGTCAAGCCCACACAGGCCTGTGGCAGAAGTGCTGCTGTTTCCAGCCCAGTCCTGTGTGACTGAAAGTGTGCCCTCAGCAACTGCCCTGCCCCAGCTCCCAGAAGAAACAGCAGCAGTGTGGGCTGCCCCCTGAACTTGTCACATCAGACCTGAGGAGCACGCCACGTGCTCCTGTGTGCACGTGCGAGGCAGGGGCTCCAGCAGCGCAGGGCTGCCGAGTGCCCAGCGAGCTCAGGGGGGGAGTGCCCGTGAACTCTGTCAGGCTCTGGGAAGAGTTGGCCCTTTTGTCTTGGTCCGTTCCGGCTGCTGTAACAAAGCACCATGGACCGGGTGGCTTATACACAGCAGACATTTATTCCTCACAGTTCTGGAGGCTGAGAGTCCAAGATTGGGGTGCCAGCACGGTCAGGTGAGGCCCTCTTCCAGGGCCCAGACTTTTCATTGTATCCTCACCTAGCAGAGGGCCAGTATCACTCGGGAGCCTCTTTTTTTAAAATTGATTTTAGAGCCCTGGCCAGTTTGGCTCGGTGGTTAGAGCGTCAGCCCGCGGACCGGAGAGGCCTGGGATCGGTTCCCACTAGGGGCACATGCCTTGGTTGCAATTTGTCCCCAGCCCCGGTTGGGGTCGTTTCAGTGACAGCCACTCAGTGTCTCTCTCTCACATCAATGTTTCTCTCTCTCTCCTCCTCCCCCTCTCTCTGGCTCTGTCTGAGGATAAATGCAAAAACGTCCTTGGGTGAAGCTAAAAAAAAATTGATTTTAGAGAAACATTGATTTGTTATCACTTATCTATGCATTCTTCGGTTGAGTCTTGTATGTGCCCTGAGTGGGGATCAAATCGGAAACCTTGGCATATCAGGACGTCTCTCTAACCAGCTGAGCTCCAGGCCAGGGCTCTCTGGAGCTTCTTTTTTTTTTTATCCTCACCCGAGGATATTTTTCCATTTTTTGTACAGATAGAGTGGGAGGGAGGGAGAGAGAGAGAAACATCGATGTGAAGGGACACATCGAGTGGCTGCCACCCGCACGACCAACCGGGGCCGGGGACAAACTGCAACCGAAGTACATGCCCTTAGCGGGAACTGAACCCGGGTCTCTCCGCACCGCAGGCCAACGCTCTAACCGCTGAGCCAAACTGGCCAGGGCTCTCTGGAGCTTCTTAAGGGTACTGTAGATACTCGGGCTGCACAGCTGTCCGAGTGAGAGCCACTGGGCTGGGTGCTGAGCAGTGGTTCACTCGCCGGCTTCTCGAGAAGGAGGTGTGAACAGGACGTCCTTCCAGCAGGAATCTAAGCCTTCAGTGTTGTCAGAATGTGTGTGGAGCCTGCAGTCATTCATGTGGCTGCACAGGGCTGGCCTTGCGTCTGTGAGTTAGATGGGGAAATAGCAGGTATGAGTAGGCACCTGGGGGATAGGTCTGCTGCGTCTGGTGTAAACCAACATCCCCTGGTGCACACGGGGTGAGAGGGCCTTGGCCTCCCCACGGAGCAGGTGGAGCTTTCCATTCCGATGGGCACAGCCACGGAGGATCCCGGCTGCCAGCAGGCTGGACAGAGGGAGGGCGCTTGCCTGTCCCAGGTGGAAGTGTAGCTTTGTAACAGATTTGACCTCCTGTTAAAGTTTAATTGTTTGCTCTTTTGTCCATGGGTTTCAGAAACCCGCTGCCAAGTGCAGAGAATATTTGCATGAGTGATGGACACATCAGCAGTGATGTAGTGTTTGACTTTCAAGGGATAAATCCGAAGAGAATTATTATCCAGAAGATGCAAAAGGAGTAAATGTGACCAGGTGTCTGACTGCACACACTGAGTTCAGCCACACGGTTCTTCAGAGGACAGAAGGCCTGGGTGGGGATGTGTGACGAGCAGAGGGTGTGACCGCCCACACAGAGCCGGGGCTCGCTGTCCTCGGGGTGGCCTGCTGTGCAGACACTAAGGATGGTGCCGGTCAGCCTTCAGGCCTTCTCATGGGAGTGGGGGGCCTCAGGCAGAGGACCACAGGTTGGTTGGGCCTGGTCAGTGGCCCTCGTTGAAATTACTGTGAACAGCCCATCAGAGCTCAGCCGAGTTAATCTAATTACTTTCTCTTTTGTCTGTTTTCTTCCCATCTCCTCGTTTTGTGTTTGTTTCCCACTTGGATTCTCTAGTATAAATCTGTGTTTAGGTCCTACTCCCAGGACTTCGTGCCTCACAACCAAGCTTCCGTACAACCTTTCCTCCCATCTGCCTCCTCTTCCTCTCCACACTTCCCACCTGTCCACCAGTCTCAGAGCTCGGACCTAGCGGTGCCGCTCGCCGCCAGTCCGCCTCCCGGCACCGTGGACGGGCCTCTCTCGCCTTCTCAGGAGAGCACCTATCACGGAAACACTGTCTGCCTTCCTTCCGAAACCTCTTTCACTGACTCGCCCCAGACGCCTTCGGTGAGAACTCAGCACACACCCCCGGTGTGGGGCTGCGCGTGGCGACACAGCCGGTCACTGTTTGCGAGGCTCCTCCCTCCGCCACAGGCAGCTCTGGCTGGCGCGTGCCCCTGAGCACATGGCTATGTGCAGGTCGGTGGCAGGTGGCAGGTGACGCGTAGCCCATTCCGTACAAAGTTCCTGACAAACTCGGGGTCTGAGTGTCCACAGATGGGTCCGTGACCATTTAGAGGCGGCAGTTACGGTGAGCGTGAGACGGAAAATGCTGCCAGTGTTCTGTCTGGTTGGCGGTGTGCAGAGGAAGGTGCGGAGATCACGGCAGCTGCCTTCTAGTTGATGTGCTGAGCGCAGGGCCTGCGTTCTGTGCTGCCGAGTGGACTGCAGAGCTTCTTCCGGGCACGGACGTGGGCAGGTAGAGGGGCAGAGCAAATGCAGGCAGTGGGGACTGACCCCAGCACGTTGAGTCATCTTGGTGGTTGCCTCCTCCCCTCCATTCTGGCCTCCCACCGCACTGGGGACCTCACAGTTCCCACCATGGTAGAGTGGGCAGGGGTGCGCCTCTCCAGGACAGTTGAGTGGCCCTTGGCGTCTTTGGAGAAGATCCAGCAGGAATGTGTGTTCCCTGTCACACAAGTAAGAGGTGGCCAAGCAGTTTCATTCTCTGACCCTGGGGCAGAGTTGCCCAAGGAGACCTGTGTGCACACTGTCACTGTCTTCTCTGTCCCGTGAGAGGAGCATCCTGGTAGGGCTCCCAGCAGGCTGCCCTCTGAGCCTGGGGCCGGCTAGGGGGCCCGTCACCTGTGCTTTCCTCTCGTCCTGTCTCCCCCAGAGCGAAAACACCAGCGAGGAGGCTGGTGAGGGTGAATACGTCAGTCTGTATTCCTCTGGCCAGAGCAGCGAGGAGCTGGCTCCCTCTCGAGGAGTAAGTAACCTCGGGGCTGCCTTGTGCATGTGGCCAGCCTGGCAGGGGTTGGACCGGCTTCTGGTTGGCTGAGCCCCTGGTCACTAGCAGACCAGGCCCCGTGGGGAGAGGACGTGGCCCTGCGGAGGTCTCCCTCGGCTTCCGCAGCAGTGCACGCGGTGCTCCTGGAGCCTGTCCCGCGGCCTGTGGAGTCTGCAGGGCAGCCTGCCGATGGCCTGGGCGGCATCGGGTGCACTTGGGATTTCTTTCTGTCCCGTCTAATAGCGTTGAGGTCCGTCCTCCATCCCCTTCCCATAGGAAGGGACCTCTCCCCACACGGAGCCTCCCACACCATCGCCTCCTCTTCCTCCCCAGTATGCCCCCTCACCCCTTTGCCAGCTGCTTCTGCAGAAGCAGTGAGTCTGGCAGGTGGCCCCCCTGAGAGAGTAGGGGCCACCTGATGCTGCCTTCTGTCTCAGCCGTCCCAGCTGCAGGCGAGCGAGGTTTGGCAGTTCTGTTGAGCAGTCAGCTTTCGGGTTTTGCTGCAACAAAATGTGAGCAAGTTCGAACACCTCAAAAATAGCTCCCCCGGCACCCTGAGTGGGATAGTCCTTGGGGCTGTGCTCTCCATGGCAGTCGGTCCGACGGTCCAGCCCCTGAGAGGTGTGGTCATTCCTGCTAAGATCCCCCTCAGGGGGATCCCCACAGGATTCTAGATATCCACACAAGTAGTGGCACCTTTCACTGCCCGCTTCAGGTGTTAGCAAGTCGTAGAATGTTGAGTTTTCAGTACAGTGGGATTTGACCCCATGTGTAGGAGCTTAGCTATTTCTCCCTGGAGTTCCCACCTCACCTATTACCTCGGTTGCCCCCTGCCCGGCATCATCCAGTTCAGCCTCTGGACTATGGCATGTATCCCAGGCTGGCCCTCCTGACTACTTAGAACCCTCTCCATGATGATGCTCCATGGATTCTTGCTGCCCAGTTCTGTCCTGACCTTGGTGGCAGATCAGGGATGCTGGAGCGCATGTTGTTGCTGAGCGGGGTGGGCCCAGATTCCCAGGAAGAAGCGAAGCTGCTTTGGGCGTGGGGAGGGGGGTTGCATCATGCTTGGGAGCAGCTGGACCCTTTGGAGCCTCCCTGGGAGGCCATCAAGCACAGCAGTCCTGAGGTCAGTCTTGCATGAGGAGGTCAGCAAAGCTTTGCTGCCCACCAGCAGGGCATAGTGATTAAGGACATAGGTTTGGGTTTGAGTCCAGGCTGCAGCCTTCTAGCTGTGTGGTCTTAGGCAAGGCCCTTAACTTGTGCCAGCCCCTGTGTGTGTGAATGGGCATGATGATGTCGGCTAATGGATAGGTCTCGATATGGGCAACAGTGCCTGGCTGAGCTTTGCTGAGTAGTAATGACTGTGACATCCTTCAGCGAGGTGGTTGGGATGGCTTTATCCCCGTTGGCAGCGGACATGTGTTATAAGTAGTGGCACCTTTCACTGCCCAGAGGGTGAGGTGCTAGTCTGAAGGGGACTCTGCTTTCTGTGTAATGAACGGTGTGTGGGGTCACATCTTGGATCGCTCCCTAGGAACTTACACTCTAAAGCCACTTACAGGCAGGAATGCTGGGAAGCACATGGGCCCCGGCATGGGCACCTGTCACAAGCACAGCACTGACTTCTCTTTTCAGGAATCACCAGCTGTGAAAGATGGACATCCCAGAGACCCCTCTTCAGTCGGCAGTGTCCCGGGGAAGGAGAACAGAGATGGTGGAGAAAGGTAGGAAGTGACCCGAGCGGGGCCAGAGGCCCTGAGAACAAGTCCGTGGTGAGAGCGGCCTGAGCAGCCAGCCAGCCAGCGCCCCTGGTGCTCTGTCCACGTTCTTCCTTTTGTGTGACTCTCACGGTTCTATGTGCTCAGGGTAGAAAACGTGGAGAGTACAGAAAGGTGCAGGGGAGCAGGAAAAATCACAAATAACCCACCCCTCGAAGGCCTTTATCTTGGCATGCAGTTGGCATACTGCTTGATCACCTGCACACGTGTGAACCCGTCTTACAAACTGCCCGTGAGTCTTTTTCAAATCTTAGGCCAACCTTCCTCGACCTCTTCCAAGTTCAGGTGCAAAAAATCCCCCCAAAAACTTCATTGTGGGTTTATGGCTATAGTGTATATATTATATTCTTAAACCATTTGGAAGTAAGGTGCAGACATGATCCTCGCCCCTAAGCACTCCAGCCTGCTGAGAACTCAAGGCCGTCCTGGTCACAGCGCCACGCACACCTGAGAAAATGCGTCGTGCGTCTCCTCACACCAGCAAACCATCTCACGGCTCCCTACCTCTCTGGATGTCTGTATGGCTTATTTTGTTTGAACCAAGGTCAATCAGGAGTCATCATTGCATTTGGTTGTATGTCTCTGTCGTGTCTTGTAACATTTTTCAGTAAGTCAGACCTGACCAGGTTTGGAAATAGGTAGTAAATTCCTCTGATGTGCTCTTACAGAGTACGGTGTGTAGGGCTGTAAACCAGCCCACCCACCTGCACCTTCATGTCGGCTTCACCTTTGTGGAATGTCCCATCTACGGGGTGGGCAAAAGTAGGTTTGCAGTTGTGAGCACATGAAACAGTGTTTATTCTTATATTTATTATTAATTAATGTGTTATAATCCATACGAACAACTGTAATCCTAGCTTTTCTTCCCTCTTAGGCCAAGGTTCAGCTACCTCTGAGGTCCTGGGTGCAAAGCTAAGCATTACCCAGTTGTCATTGTCAGGCCTAAGTGTAAGCGTTTGAAGAGGTGGTGAAAATAACAAGAGAGAGAAGAAAACTATTAGAAAGCACCCTACAGGGGCCATTGAAGAGGGCGGCCCACCGGCCTGCTCTCGGCTGCTGCTCTGTGTTAAGCAAGGGTGGTAGGATTTCTAGTATGTCTCTGCCACACGACAACAACTCGTGGGTTCTGTCTCTAGCTCCTTGGGCCTGAGGCCATTTCTCAGAGTCCTGCTGGCCTTGTAAAGGGGGCAGAGGATGAGTACATTGACTGGTTAGAAACATCACTGGGATGCGGTCCCCTTCCCTGAGAGCCAGACCACAGGCGTCACTGACGAGAGGCATGACACAGGGTTCTTCCCAGGGCCGCTCAGAGTGCGGCTGTGGCCCACCCGTGCTGGCACAGACTTTTATGTCTTAGATACTTAGGGTTAAAAATATGGCCTGTGACCACAAGGGCAGCAGTGCCTCCCGGAGTCCATATGAGAATCGTAAGTGTGAATTGGGAATATGGGGATAAACTCGAGGAAAGAAAGGTGCCCACAGACGCAGTGCCCATGTCCCTGAATGCCCCAGCCATTCACCTGCTCCCTCTGCTGGGGTGGAGGGCCTCTCCTCACCCTTCACCAGCACACTCCTGCTCAGCTCTCCAGTCCCGGCCTGTCTGGCCCATCCTCAGGCCCCGCCCTGCCCTTGAGACTCGGCTGAGACCCCTGCTCGTGTTACCGTCTGTCTCTCCTACTGGGCGCAGTGCTCCACCCCACAGAGGGGCGGCCCCCAGCAAGACCTAGGCAAGGACATTAAGGTCACACGAACTCTCGCCCATGTTGCCTGGCAGTCTGCTGTTCCTGTCCTTGAGTCCTGACTGCAGGTAGTGGGCCTTGACAGAGTGACCGAGACCAGCACTGATGGAAACAGACCAGTGGGACCTTCTTGGTCTCCTTGCTTAACCCCGTCTGTTTATAGATAGGCCCTCCAGAGAGAGCAGGAGGCCCTGACCAGTTTGGCTCAACGATTAGAGTGTCGGCCCATGGACCAGAGAGACCCGGGTTCGGTTCCTGCTAAGGGCACATACCTCAGTTGCAGTTTGTCACTGGCCCCAGTTGGGGTTGTGTGGGTGGCAACCACTCGATGTGTCTCTCTCACATCGATGTTTCTCTCCCTCTCTCCCTACCCCTCTATCTGAAGATAAATGCAAAAAAAAACCAAAATGTCCTCTGGTGAGGATAAAAAAAAAAAGTAATAAAAAACAGAAAGCAGGAGACACCCCATGGTCACACAGCTCCTCGGGTGGGTGGGGGAGGTCTGGGCTGCTCACGGTAGCTGTGATGAGGGCGACTTGTTCAAGGGCAGGGTTCCCGTGACCAGCTGCACTGCTTCAGCCTCCAGGCCTCATGGAGCCGGGGCCCGTCTGACACTCGCAGCACCAACCACTTGTCCCTCAGGTCCCCGAAGTCACCAGATGCTACCGAGTCGGCTCAGTCGGAGGAGGAAGTGGATGAGCTGTCCCTCATCGACCACAATGAAATCATGGCCAGGCTGACACTCAAGCAGGAGGTAAGTGCCTCACAGGTTTCGATGGTGTAATCTGGCCGTGATGAGGGTAGGGGGCTTCAAGGAGCCTGTAACCGTGAGGTGTGTCAAACAGAAAGACCCAAGCAAACTAAGGACCCTCCAGGTGGCTGCCTGGGCTGTGGGCTCCATGCATCTCTTCTGTCCTGGCTTAGGGCCTGGGCCACCATGCGTGCCAACAGACCCTAGGCAGATGGAGGAGTGACGAGAGGAAGTGTGCCGTCCCCTCCTCTGATGGCCTAGCGAGTGATCTTGGGCAAGTTACGGACAGCTCTAGGCCCCAGGAAATGGTTTGTGAAGATGAAATCCATGCAAGGTGTTCAGCACGGGGCCTGTGCTGCAAGCCCTCGTTAGCGTAAGACCTTTGCTACGTTGTTATCAATGGAGTGACCCCACTGCCGTGACAGCGGGGAGACACAGCTGATAGGAGAGCGCCGGCTTCCTCATCCTGTGCCTTGTCGGGAGAGCCTCGCTGGCACAAACAGCCCCCAGACCTGTCCAACAGAGGAGCTGACCTGGGAGAGCGTGTGTCTCCTCTGCCGTGCAACTCTGGAAACACAAGTCCTGGCTTAATAGCATGGCCCAGCCCTGAGGACGTGACCACGTGCCTGGGCCCCAGTTCAATGGCAGCACAGACGCACAGGCGGATCCTGCCCTTTGCGCACTGCAGAGCCGGGCTGAGCTGGCCGGGCGGTGCAGAGAGGAGCTGGGAAGGCAGAGCGATGGGGCCCCCGAGTGGGCAGCTCGCTCCCCTCAGAGAGAAGAGATTGCTTGTGACCCTTCCCAGAAACGTCTTCTGAAAAATCAGGTCATGGGCATAGTCATCCCTACTCTTAGCTGGAAGCCAAGACACTTCAGGACCCCAGTCCAGGAGTGAGCCCTGACGCCCCGGGGAGGCACGTGCGCCTGCAAGACTGGGGGCTGCAGACACCCGAGGCTCTGTGTGGTTGTGCTCCCTGCGGTCACAGCAGCCCTGTGCTCTGGGGCCTGAGTTCCCAGGCCTGGCCCTGGCTCCAGGCCAAGTTAACGGTTAAAACTTCTGTTTGTTAATGTGGAAATAAGGCTGTTTCCTTAACTGGCAGGCGGCAGTCACAGTCATCGGTCACATAAGCAGTGTCAGGTGTAACTAAAATGTCTCTGTGACACTTTGTAGTCCTCTAAGGACTCCTGGAAGAACCTGTGACGTGACAACAGGTGACTTCTCCCACCTGGGGAGGCAGATTGAGATTCAGGGCAGCTCGTTGCAGTTTTAGGAGCATGAACATGCATGGAAACAGCGCCGCTGCCTCCGGTGATCCTGGCAGAGGCGGAGCAGTTCTGCCTGCCTCCCCACGGGGTCCCACTGTCCCCCTTGCCTCTCAGACCCAGGGGTTGGTGAGCAGGGAAAGATTGAACGGTACCATGTCCCCCTGACCCAGGTATGTCCAAAGCAATGTGCCCACGATGTCTGGGCAGCCCCCAGGGCCTCCCAGACAAGTTTGGCTCTGTGCCTTTCTGCCGAGTGCGGGGCAGTGGATGGTGGGGTGGGCAGCGTGGCCACGCTGTTCCCAGGCTGGGGGAGAGCCAAGGAAAGGGGCTGTGATCTCCGGCACAGCGTCTGTGTCACCTTAGCCCTGCCTATGTGTCTGAAGCTGCCTTCTCACAGCTGCGTGCCCCTCATGCCCTCGGCGCTGTTGTCGTTGCAGGGTGATGACGGGCCCGATGTCCGTGGAGGATCTGGGGATATCCTGCTGGTCCACGCTACTGAGACAGACAGGAAAGGTACGGCGGCGCTCTGCAGTGGTCTCTGAGCTCCCTGGGTCCGGGCGGGTCCTGCTGCAGCCGCCCCTGCCCTGCCCTCTCCGCCAGCCCTGAGTGGTCAGGACGGCCGTGCTGGGGGGTCGTCGTAATTAGAGCCCACCCTGGGGAACCAGCATTGAAAGCCAGGCCTCTGCGCCCAGCCCTCGGAGTGGGTCCCCCACTGGTGCGAGGCAGTGATGACCCCAGCCCAGGGGAGCATGGAGAACGCACGTTTTGAGTGCAGAGCTCGGCGCCTGGTCAGCTCCGCACGCGGCACCTCAAGGAGACGTGGTCAGCAGCAGGAGTGAGAGCGCGCAGTGCGTTCATCTCTGTCTGCGTGCGTCGCAGTGCTCCAGGCCATGGAGTGGACTCCAGCCTTGAGCAGGGCACTGCCTTCCCCGGCAGGTGCCCGACCGGCGGAGGACGAGGGCCCTCCTGTGGGAGACTGTGAGCAAGAGAGCTGTCCTTCCAAGCTGTGTCCTGCCACAGAACGAGGGGCCCAGGAAGGTGCCCGTGGCCTTGGTCAGGGCGGAGGAGGGGCTGCAGTGTCCAAACCCCCACGTACCTCAGTTGCACTTTGTCCCTGGCGCCAGTTGGGGTTATGTGCGTGGCAACCACTCAGTGTGTCTCTCTCACATCAGCACCTGGCCTCCCTCCGAACTCATTTTCCTTTTACATTTTTAAATTATTATAAAGATGATGTAACAATAGTGCCAAAGTAAGGTGTGGAAGGAATTAAAACACCCCAGTCTTGAAACCCTAACCCCCCAATTTTGTTTTTGTAAATGAACAAATCCTTATGTTTTATTTTTATATTTTTCTTTATTGATCTTAGAGAGAAAAAACAAGAAACATCGATGAGAGAGAACATCTACTGGCCGCCTCCTGCACGCCCCCTCACTGGGGATCAGGCCCACAACCTGGTCATGTGCCCTGAATGGGAATCAAGCCAGTGACCTCTTGGTACCTGGGTCAACCCTCAACCACTGAGCCACACAGGCCGGGCAGATCCCTATGTTTTTATAGCAGATTTCTCAAAGACTCTGGGAACTTTTTGTTGTTGCTGTTAATCTTCACCAGAGGATATTTTTCTGTTGATTTTTTTTAGATAGAGTAGAAGGGAAGGAGGGAGAGATTGAGCAAGAGAAATATCAGTGTGAGAGACACATTGATTGGTTGCCTCCCACATGATCCCTACTGGGGCCATGGATTGAACTTGCAACCCAGGTACATGCTCTTGACTGGGAATCGAACCGGGGGCCCTTCGGTCTGTGGGCCGATGCTCCCACCTCTGAGCCAAACCGGCCAGGGCAACTCTGGGAACTTTTAAATTATGAAAGCAGTACAAGAATAATGTTTACGTTGCAGAAAATTTGAAAAACAGAGAAAAAGAAGAAATCACTCCCAAAGATTCACCACAGCCAGTGTTTTGCCCTCTGGGGTGTCTTCCCTCCTGGTGTCTTCTGTCTGGGGCAGAGTTCAGTCCTGGAGACTGATTTTGAATCCTCGCTGTGCCAGCCCCAGGCCGAGGCAACCGCTGGGCATAGCTGCCCCTCTCAGGCTCAGCTGGCTCGGTTCTGAAGAGGCTGGTGGTGGCAGGGGATGTGACGATGGAACGTAGGCACAGAGCGTGTCTGCACAGAGGGCGCCGGGATGTGTCCACTGTTGTCTTTGGGGACAGCCTTCGCCCTGCTCTCTGCAGGGAGCCCGCCTGAGGCACCAGGAAGGTGGGCCGATTTCACTTCTGCCCAACCGCAAGGGGCTGGCGTGGGAGTTGGCTTGTCCTCGGCTCTGGCGGTGAACGCGCTGTCCTGCCAGGTGCAGCCAGCTGTGGCCGGGGCCAGAAGGAGCCTCAGTCATGACGGTCAAGAGCCTGGAGGCCATGCCGACTATGCCTGCTGGGCTTCTGCTTGGTTTATTAATGGAAAGATCCGAGGTTCCAGGGAACCAGAGTCACCTGTACCTGGGATGAGGTGGCTTCCTGTGGGCCTGAGACCACACCCGTGGCTTTGGACTGGGAGGCTCCGCCCCTCAGAGGCGCAGACTTGGGTCCAGTCTTCCAGAAGTGGGCGTTGGCTTGTGCTAGACCCATCTCCACGTCCTTGCCCAGCCCCTCTGGACAAAAGCCAAACTTGACAGAGAGTGGCGTGGGGTTCGGGAGGGGCCTGAGCTGTGGGACCCATCTGTGGTTCCAGCCTGGGCACCTCCCTCATAGCACCTGCCCTTCCGGCTGAGCCCCGCCCGGTTCAGCCCCACATGTGGGAGCAGTTGTTACTGTTCTTCCTTTGTCCGAGGAGGTGATTGAAGGGCAGAGCCAGGAGCCGGGTTCAGCCAGGCCTGCACTGCTTAGCTAGAAGAGTGGGGATCCATGAGGTTTTTCCACCCAGCGAGCTGGGGTGAGTGAGAAAAGATGGGGAAGGTGGTCTGCGTCCAGACAAAGTGTCAGTAGTGTGTGTGTGGTCGCGAGCTCAGCCTCATGGTGAGGAATACAGTCTTGGGAGTCAAATCAGGACTCGGACCTTACTTAGCTCCAGCTCAGAACAGCTCTGACGTCCTCAAGCCTGGCTGGGTCGTCTGTCTCGAGGAGTGACCTGCATTTTTGTGTGTGTGGTACGTGCCCCTAGCGGGAACCGAACCCGGGACTCTCTGGTCTGCATGCTGACGCTCAACCGCTGAGCCAAACTGGCCAGGGCAAGTGACCTGCATTTAAAGCATCCCACTCCTGTCGTGTCAGGGCCTGCGGGTTGGAGGGGAGTCACCTAAGCAGGCTGTTGTGCCTGGGAAGGTCAGGATCCCTGGCTAGAGCCAGCCCCTCCGAAAGGAGGGGAGGTCGTGTGGGGCTGCCAGCCCAGGTGCCCCTGGCTGCGGGAGGTGGGCTCCTCCTAGTCGGCCTTGCCCTTCCCTGGCACCCAAGCGTGCCCCCTTGGCTCTTCCAGCTGTGTGCCCAGCTCTGCCTTCAGCCTTTTCTAGATCTCTCAGTCTGTGAAACTCCCAAGGCTTTTGTTCCAGAGCTCTGCCGTCTAAAGGTCTCACTTATGATTTAGCTTCAGAATCCTGCTGACGAGTTGGAATCGTCTTCTGCATGCCCGTGAGGAAGAGCTTTGACCTCAGGCCTGGGCTCTTGCTGTCTCCCGGGGGCACCTCGTGGCCTCACTGTCTCACTGTCTCTGCGCTTCCCTCTAGACTTGGTGCTGTATTGCGAGGCCTTCCTGACCACCTACAGGACCTTCATCAGCCCCGAGGAGCTCATCAAGAAGCTGCAGTACAGATATCCTTTCCTGGCCTCCCCTCCGGCTCCTCTTCCTGCCCCGGGGCGGCAGGGTGTGTCTGAGTCCTGGGCAAGCCTTCCCCTTTGAGCTTCTTCGCCCTCTGTGAAGGGCTGGACAGAAAGAGTGTGCTCCCTGGGGCGCTGGTCACTGGGTGGTTCTGAAACTATTAGAGCTGACGCCCTGGGGGACCTTGGAGGCCCCTGCAGAGACCCAGCACCTGCAGCTTCTGAGCTGAGCCCCTGAGCAGGAGGGGTGATGAGTGCAAATGTGCGGGCTTTCAAGGAATCAAGACTTAAGTGGACAGCCTCGGGTAGGCATGGCCACTTCACCTGACGCAGACTTGCCGTGGGCAGTAAGCCCACACCCACGAGAGTGGGCTCCTACTCCCCCACACCTGCCTGCGCACTCACCTTTTCCAGTGTCCTGCCTTCCGTCCCGGATCAGGGAGACCCCGGGGCCTCGAAGGACCACCGCGGATGCCTCTTTGTCCAACCTGTCCATCCTGCCCCAAAAAGTGGACCGGCCCAGGGTCAGCTGCTGCTGGCCATGCCCCCTGTCGCAGCCCATGACTGCCCTCTGCTGGACAGCAGCTGTCACTTGGGGTGGGGAGTCCGGTCCCAGATCTGAGGCTTCCCCTGCTGTCTCTCCCACGCCCCCCTTGCCCTCGCCCCAGAGTCCTGGCCCCTCAGCACTGAAGTGGACAGTCCCCATCTTCACAGACAGGTTCCCTCAAGCCTCGCACGTTCACTTGCTCACAGGCCTGACTCAGCAGGTGACCGGAACGCACTCTGGTTGAGAACTGGCTGCTGTCAGGCGTGCTGCTGCTAAGCACTGACACACGCAGGCCCCTGCACCCCCCATGAAGCATTTCGTGTCTGCACCACTGTGTCACACACCACGCACTATGTTCCTGTTTGCAGTTAATAAGCCAGGCCAGAGAGGTTGGTGACCCTGTGGCTCTTTGGTGAGAGGCTCCCCGCCCTCACCTCACGCCCCCCCCCCAAAGCCTCTCATACCTCAGAGCTCAGGTTCTCAGCACCTCCCTCCTCAGCCACTTCCGATGTATTGATGGAAATGTTCCAGCATCGAGACCTGAGCGCAGCTGGCCAGGGAGCCCTCTGTGCTGCGGGCCCTGAGGACTGTCCCTGGTGCATGGGTCCTTCCTGACACTCCGGGTCATGGGCAGCTGGAGTGGGAGGGTCCACAGAGGATGATGGAAACCGGTGGATTCTCAGGCTATGGAGTCGTGGAAACTCACTCGGATTTCAGAGAGACACCTGGGTGTGCACCTACCTGGGGGCGGGGTTTAGGGCGTGTAGTTTGTGACCACTGTTCTCGCCTTGAGGCTCAGCAGGGCAACCCTTGGCATGTCAGGAAGTCTAACAGGAACCCTGGTTGGACCCCACAGAAAGGCGGTGGGGCAGCTCTGCGGGCAGGAGAGCGTGATGCCTGAGGTCGGGGCTGCCGCCCTCACAGGCCTCTGCCCTCCCCGTGTGAGAGCGGCTGTTTCCTTAACCCTTGCTCCACATACGAGAAGTTCTCTCCCTTCACTGACACATTCAAGAAGCGCGTCAGCAAGAACACGTTCTTTGTGCTGGTGCGGGTGGTGGATGAGCTCTGGTGAGTGCCTCCTCCCTGGGATCGTGAGGTCCCCACTGGAGGTGGCTTCTCTGCTGATCCGGGCATCTCATCGCGTCCCGCCTGCTTCTCCAGGCTGTGTGCCCACAGTTCGGACAGGCCTCACTTTAACATGCCCCTTGGGGAAATGGCCCACCCCGTAGACCAGCCCCAGCTTACGCCCTGATTTCCTGTGAGCCACCCTGCTGCGTGGGGTTAGCCTAGGCCTAGTCCACAGTGGGCCTTGCTCTGTGCCCTTCTCAGCTCCCCATGCCCCCTGACATGGCACTCTCCGCTTCCATCAGTTAGCAAACACCCATCAAGACAGGCCCTTTCCTGGGGGGAGGAAACCTCCCTGGCCCTGCCTCGCAGGCGCCGTCTTCTGTTAGCGGGTGGCACAGTGAGCACAGCTGAGCCCTCCGTGCGTGCAGTGCTGTCACAGGAAGTTCTGGTCGTCCTGTGGACCTCTAGTCCGAGGGGCCAGGACCTCTTAGTGACTCCGCACCTCAGAATCAGGGCTCCTCGGGGCAGGATGTCGGTGGGATTTGTCTCCACAGCCCCGACCTGGTCTCCAGGGCTTGTCCAGGGCCAGCAAGTGTTTGCTGAGAGGACACGGTCACTCGTTCCCACAGGGGCTACCCCAGCACTCGGGGGTATAAGCAGCCGTCCCAGGTCCTGTTCTTACTCTCTAACCTTACGAGGTTCCCAGCTCGACTAATGGCTGCCATGTGGCCCTGGGGTATCGAGCTGGCTCTGGACCAAGGGCAGCAGTCCTCCTCCCGTCCTGGCCTCCTGCCCCTCACCTCGTGGCCTTGGCCCTTAGCCTCGTGGAGCTGACAGAAGAGATCTTGAAGCTGCTGATGGAACTGGTCTTCCGCTTGGTGTGCAATGGAGAGCTCAGCTTGGCCCGTGTGCTCCGGAAGAACATCCTAGACAAGGTGGACCAGAAGAAGCTGCTCAGATGTGCCAACTCCGACCAGCCCCTGGCGGCCAGGGGTGTAGCAGCCAGGTGAGCTGACAGCCATGCCTCTGGCGCTCCTCCAGCCCCTGCCCCCTCTGGCCAGAGCGGTGCCCAGCAGTTCCCCTTCACCCATTTTCTCACGCGCTTCCCAGCCACAGCCTCACACCCAGGCTCTGCTAGGCCCTGATACACGGTGGCTGGGGGACAGCCCAGTGGGTTCCCTGGACGCTGGGCTTCTGCTCCAGGGTTCTCATGCGTGATGAGTCACCTTTTTACTAGGAAGGGGCACGAGGGCATGTGGGGCTTAGCAGGACAGGAGGCAAGAATGCTTCAGGCCTCGGTCAGCTCTTCATCTTCTTCCTGGACTAACATGGCAGCTGCCAGTTCTCAGCTGCCCTGCTGTGCCGCCCCGAGCGTCCCCAAGCGGTGTTCAGTTTCTGTCCTGTGGCCTGCCCCTCCTGCCGCTCCTGCCCCTCCTGCCCCTCCTGCCCAGCCGTAGATGTTCCCAAGCGGTGTTCAGGTTCCGTCCTGTGGCCTGCCCCTCCTGCCCAGCCGTAGATGTTCCCAAGCGGTGTTTAGGTTCCGTCCTGTGGCCTGCCCCTTCTGCCCAGCCATAGATGTTCATTAGTGAAAGTTTCCACCTTTGCTCGTATGGCACCATCTCTGTTCCCCTGGGCCCTGAGATCTCGGCAGCTGAGCTGCCCATGGGCTCACAAGGGGACCTGCAGGACCCGCCCAACAGCGGCAAGAAAGGGGTGCTGGCACTGTGGTCCCAGGGAGCAGCCAGCTGCTCTGTGGACTGTGTTCTCTGGCCCGGAACAAGGCCTGGTGGTGGCTCCCACCGCCCTGGCCACTTACTCGTGTCTGTCTTCCAGGCCCGGGACGTTGCATGACTTTCACAGCCATGAAATAGCTGAGCAGCTGACCCTGCTGGATGCCGAGCTCTTTTATAAAATAGAGGTATGCCGTGGGGCAGGCGGGGGGAGGGGTGGCTGGCCTTCCAGGGGCCACTGCTCCTGTCCAGTCGCAGGAAAGCCAGAGGGCTCCAGCCCTACGCAGTCTACTTCCTTTTTCAGATTCCTGAGGTTTTGCTTTGGGCAAAAGAGCAGAACGAGGAGAAGAGCCCCAACCTGACCCAGTTCACAGAGCACTTCAACAACATGTCCTACTGGTAAGGGGCACGGCACAGGGCCCAGCTCCTTCTGAGGCCCCGTGGGCTTTTATTGTGAACAGAGGCAGCAGAAGTGAAGAGCGTGTCTGGAGCACTGAAAGGGGCCACCTAGAGGGCCGGGCTGGTTGAGGAGTCAGACACAGCGGGACTGGTCCAGGATTGGTGGCAGTGCCCACCGTGAATGGGAGGCGACATGCGCCCTCCCGCCCTGGTCGTTGCCAGTCTCCCGACCGCCAGGCAAGCAGCCTCGGGGCTCATCGTCACACTGACTGCCCGAAAGAAGAGAGCAAAGGAGTGGTCGCCATTAGTGCTGTTATGTGGCCTTTCATTCTCGAAGCAAAGTGGAGCCCAAAGTGTATTTATTTATAATCTAATATGTAATAGAACTGTCGGCTCCTCAAGGTGGGACTCGAAAGTGCCCACGGCCTCTCAGCATCAAAGCAGGTGGTCAGGGCGAGACAGCCATGCTGCCCGAGCTGGGGCTGGCCCCTCCCCACACAGCCCAATGTTCCAAAGTCTGTCTGTTGGAGAGAAATCAGGTCATCCTAGCCTTTCCCCCAACACAGCACGTGGTCGTTTGTAGTCCCCTGCTGGGCACAGAGGACTCCGGGCACACCCCTGGGGGAGCTTTGCCTGGGGGGGGTACAGGTGGGGCTCCCCCAGAGCCACAGTCCTCAAGTTGGATCCATGCAGGTGCCCTTTAATGGGGTAGAGGAGGCAAAGCTGAGGGGCCCTTCCTCCCAGTGCCTGGCAGTGGCTGCTGAGAAACCACAGGGCGTCCAGGCCCTTGTGCGAGGTTGTCTGGCAAGATGGCCTCTCTACCCACGTGCCTGCTCCTCTCCTGAGCCAGTCCTGAAGCCGTGCAAGGAGTGTGTCCATCCTCGGTGGTGCTTGGGTCAGTGCTTGTGAGGAGCGCGCAGCTTTGATCCTCCAAAGCCTGCACAGCCCGAGGCCCCAGCCACCAGGTTTCTTTGTGGCCTCTTGCCTACGCCCGGGATTCTGCAAGCTCCTTGAGAGCCAGGGTCAGGGCTGCAGCTGGTGCCTACCGTTTCCCGGGCACTCGCTGCAAGCATGGGTGCTCTCTGGCTAGCCTGTCCCCACCAGGACTGCGTGGGCCTGAAGGGGCCCAGTCTGCCAGCTGTCTCCTTCCCGTTGGTCCCTGCAGGGTCCGGTCAATAATCATGTTGCAGGAGAAGGCCCAGGACCGGGAGCGGCTGCTCTTAAAGTTCATCAAGATCATGAAGGTGACCTTGGCATCCTCCCCAGAGCCTGCTCCTTCAGGCCCTGCCCCCAGGAGGTGGGAGGCTCCAGGCCTGCCCACCTTGCCCCCATGACCGCCTCGCCTCTCTCTGTAGCATTTACGAAAGCTCAACAACTTCAACTCCTACCTGGCCATCCTCTCGGCACTGGACTCGGCGCCCATCCGCAGGCTGGAGTGGCAGAAGCAGACCTCAGAGGTGAGCAGTGGGACAGGAACGGAGACCTGGGCTCTCGGGTCCCTGCTCTGCCCCCACCCTGCTGTGTGGCTGGGACAGCCCACCCCAGCCCAGCCTGCCTTAGAGTCCCGTCTCTGCTCTCCAGCCATCGGGCCCTGGGGGGCGTGGTTGGTGCTGGGGGTGCTACATCACAGCTCCCGCTGCCTGCACCACAGGCCTACCTCGGTCCCAGCCGCACTTTCTCCTTCCCTGGGCCTGTGTTTAGAGGCCTCCTCTGGGCAGGCTTCGTTAGGCATTGGTTGTGCTGTGGACAGGCAGGTGTGATGGGGCGGGTTTCTCAGGGTAAGTGCTGAAGGGAAAAGGATGGCTGCTGAGCAGGCCAGGAGTCAGGGAGGCCCTGAGGACGTGGTGGTCAGGCCAAGCCCTGAGGAGGAGGAGTTTCCTGGGAAGGGAGGGAAATTCCCACCAGAGCCCAGAGGAGTGCACAGATGGAGAGCTGGGAGCCGGCGGGAGCTGGGCCTTGACAAAGGAAGCAGAACCCACAGAGCAGAGCGTTGGCTGGGCTGCCCAGGGCTCCAGGGGTGACATAAAAAGACAGCTATAAACAGCATTGTTTGGAGAAGTGGGACAGTCCCACCAGTTGCTGCAGGAAGAGGAGGTCGAGGTCGAGGAGGCAGGGAAGGAGGTGACCCATCAGAGTGAGAGGCCCCCAGCAGGCGAAAAGGCAGGCGCCCCAGGTGGTGTGCAGAATCAGGTGAGGCCACCTGCCGCCCCGAGGACCTGGCCCTGAGGGCAGCGCGGAGCAGAGGGAGGCTCGGGCTGGGAGCCACCGGTTCGCTGTGTGCTTAGAGGCTCACTCGGGCTGCAGTGCGTAACCCAGCAGGGGGCCAGCCCCAGGTCTGTACCCATGGCAGGTGCTGAGGAGAGACACGGGCTGGGTAGGCACAAGCCGTCCATGGACCGCTGGCCCCGAGAGGCCTGGTGTGCCTGCGGCTGGGGCAGAGCCCAGGTCTGGTTTAGGGCTGGCAGGGGGTGGGTGATGAGTTGGTCTGTGAGGAGGGTCAGGGGCTCGGAGCCCAGCATTACACCAGTGTTCACGAGCTCCGTGTCCCTCCTGCCCAGGGCCTGGCTGAGTACTGCACACTGATTGACAGCTCGTCCTCCTTCCGCGCCTACCGGGCCGCCCTCTCGGAGGTGGAGCCCCCGTGCATCCCGTACCTGTGAGTAGAACCTCCCGCCTGGGTTTGCCCCGGTGCTCTGCGCATGCTCTGTCGGCTCCCTGAGAAAGCTGCACTTCGGGGTTTCCCACCGGATGTTTGTGCTGCTGTCTAACTTTACATTGTGTGACGAGGAGCACCTTTTACTTTTAAACAGAAAAGTGGGCCCAGTGAAAAGTTGTGTCTCTGTCCTGTTCCCCTCGCTCCCTCACTTGCCAGTCGGCATGTCCAAGCGTGCATGTGGACAGACTGTAGCTCCTTTCCCTGGCAGGGGCGTCATGCCACGTGAAGAAGCTCAGAGTGTGGGCCCTGGCGTGGAGTAGAGAGGTGTTTCCCGGGAAAGGGTCCCGTGGTCGGTAAATGTAGGAAATAACAAAGTCGAAGCTCAACAGGCTTCTTTGTGCAGGTCTTATCAGAGCCCTTAGTCTGGGAGTGGACTGTGGAGTCTCCGAAAGGGACGGAAGAGTCGGCACTGCCCCAGGGCTGGACATCTGAGGGGACAGCCCATTCCTCTCCTTACTCCCCACTTCTGGCCCTCACTGAGCGACGCTTTCCCGGGTGGGCTCTCTGACAGGTCCCTGGGTGGAGGATCTGCCCATCACTGGTCACGCGGCTTCAGGTCCTGTGTTCAGAGGCGCCTTTCCACACCTGCTAACAAGAGGGCTCTGTCTCCCGCCCACGCCCGGTGTGGGGTTCTGTCTTTTTCCCACAACTCGGCTGGCTTTGCTACAGCGGCCAGTTCCTTGACAGCCCCTGCAGGCCGGGATGGTCACTGAGGGCCTCTGTAGCTTTGCCGGGGGCCCAGGGCTTGGGAGCTGGGACTTCACACTGGAAAAGAAAAGTGTCCCGGAAGTGTTTGTGGCTTTGGTGGCTTCTCAGGCACAGCCCAAAGGCCTGGGCTGAGTTATCGCTGGCTTGTCCTGGTGGCACAGCCACCTTCTGGGGCACCTCTGGAGGGTAACTGGGCCTCTCTGTCCTCCCAGGGGGCTCATCCTGCAGGACCTCACCTTCGTGCACCTGGGGAACCCAGACTATATTGACGGCAAGGTGAACTTTTCCAAACGGTGGCAGCAGTTCAACATCCTGGACAGCATGCGCTGCTTCCAGCAGGCGTGAGTGCCCCGGGCCCTGGCTGCGGGCCTGAGCAGAGGGGAGGCGGCCGGCCAGTGGGGATCCCGGGCCTGCTCCGGCCAGGCGTCGGGAGGACAGATAGTGTGCGTGAGGGCTCACACAGGGCGGCCAGCTCGGCCCCACGGCCCACACGAGGAAGCTGGTGGCTGGTCATGCCGCAAGGAGGAGGTTGACGAACCCTGGCCCACTGGACTCCAGAGCACTGGGGGTGGGCCCAGATGTCAGAGCCCCCCAGGTGGGCCACAGCGTCCAGTGGGGCCTGAGGAGCCAGGTCTCCCTGGAGCACTTTGCAGAGGGGAGCCCAGCTGCAGGGGTGCTGCTCGGCAAGACCTTGCAAGAAGCAGAGATCAGGCTGCAGGGTCCAGTTTGGGCCCTGCGTGTGTGGCCTCATCTCTGAGTGCTCATGTCCTCCCTTGTAGACCACAGCGGCTGGGGCAGTCATGGGTCGCCTTCAGGAGGCCCTGGGCTCTCACTGTCTGCCTCCCTTTCCCCACCAGGCATTATGACATCCGGAGAAATGATGACATCATAAACTTCTTCAACGACTTCAGTGATCATCTGGCCGAGGAGGCGCTATGGGAACTCTCTCTGAAAATTAAACCCAGGAACATAACAAGGAGAAAAACAGACCGGGAAGAGAAGACCTAGGAGCAGATGCTGTGAGCAAGCAGAACGCTCAGAGAGACGCAGTGTGGCTCTGAGACCGGAAGGGACTTTGGACCTGTTACAGGGCAGCAGCACCTGTCCGGCCTCAGCCACTGGCCCGGCAGGGCAGGAGCCCGGAGCCCGGAGCCTGGGCAGCTTCCTGCCCCTCCTCCCATGAGCGGAGCCCAGCACAGAGCCAGCAGGCAGGTCTCGTTGCTGATTAGTGAACCGGTGGTTTTCTCGTTTGATTTCTGCTTTCGTGTCTGTCTCCCCCTCCCTGTTCCTCCTGCTCCCCCTCCAGCCTGAAAGCAGACCAAGGAACAGCAGGATCTTCACCCCTCCCTGACTTCCAGGGTCCTGGATCTGCTGACGTGACAAATGAGTGGAGGCTCAAGGACCCTTGTGGGGGCTGTACTGCTGGTGACCTTGAATGAAGGGGACACTTAGCTTGGTGGGCAGAGAGCAGAGCTGACTTGGGGGAGACTCCTCTTGCTTTCCAGCCCTGCTTTTTCAAATGGAGGGTGGTGAGCGGCTCACTGCCGCGAAAGGTACGACAGGTGGCTTTCAGCAGCCCTGGAGCTCGGAGCTCCAGTCACGGTACAGCCCTCAGCGTCGCCCTGCTGCCGGCTGGCACCAGGCCTCTGCCAGGCTTGAGCAGTAAGGAGTGGTGTCTGCCGTCTTTCAGCCCCCCCCACCCCCTGGCACACCCCCATCACATGGCGCTCTGGGGAGCTGGGAAGAAGTTGGAGCGAGAGAGGACTTGACCATTCAAGAAATATATTTTAGCTGAGCTGGGCCCGTAGCTCTTGGGTGAGTGAATTCAGAGACAGGGGAGTAGAGGGGCGTTTCTGTCCTAGGGGAGGCCAGTGGCCTCTCCTCTGTCACTTGCTGTGTGCCTTAAACTCCATCTCCGGTCCCCCCACACACACACGGGCTCCCCTCCTGCCATATTCCATCCTGGTGGGCGACAGGGACCCCTCCTGTTCATGAGACCTGTCCACCAATGCTGTCTGCTCTCCCCTGGGAAGGACAGTGTCCCTGAGGGGCCAGGACTGGGCTGTACAGCCACACCCTAGCCCGGGGGCAGGCCTGCTGTCTCCGGAGAGCATCTTCAGAACAGATGCTTTTCTGTCCTGTTCGAACCACTCTTGCTGCTGAGGTTGACAATCCAAGGCCAGGTCTGCAGGGCCCCCCCACACCCAGGTGCCCGGCTGGAGCCCCCACGCGCTGTGTATTGTGTGGTGGAGTGCTCACCTGTCTGTGGTTGGCCCCTTGTCACGCAGACTCCAGGACCTAACTGTGCTTAGCCCAGAACAAAGAAAAGTAGAAAGTGACATCTGTTGATCATTTAGATTTTGTTTTTAAAGAAACAACCATGTCACTTTGAGTCCTTCATGGGTTTTGATAAGCTTTTATCAGGAAGCAAAGTTGGGCTGGGCTTTTCCCTCTCGTTTGCCCTGTACCTGGAGGGGAGAGGCTATGAAATGTTGTTAGGGTCCCTCTGGCGGTGATCCTGCCGCTGCGGGCCGGAACACGTCACTTTATTATTTAAGGAGTGTGTGTGTTTAGTCACTGTTCACTGGCAGTGCTCCGTGTGGGTTGGTTTTCATCTGTGCCTGCGTCTTCAGTCCTCACTTCAGTGTCCCCGGCCTGCCCAGCTCTGCCCGTGTCGCTGTGCCCTCGGGGCCCCAGGGTTGGGGCAGCCGCGGCTCCCCTGTGCTTTGGAGAGCCCCCGGGTCTCCCCCCACAGCCCAGGCAGACCCTCAGCCTCGGAAACCCAGCCACTCGCAGACAGCTGCGGCCTGCGGCCTGTCCGCCCGGTCCTCGGCCAGGAGCTGATGAGGGGGGCCTCTACCTTCCTCGATCCAGAAGCCCTGCGCACCCTCCCCGAGCCCTTGGCAGTGTGAGCAGAGGGGTGCCAGGCAAGCGGGGGGGCGGTGACCCCGACGTGAGGACAGCAGTGCAGCGTGTGTGTTAACTTATTGGCTGATGGGCTCCCCACCTCTGCCTCCCCAGACACTCTGGGCTCAGGGTGTTGCCGAACCCCGTGCCTGCGCGGCAGCCCGGCTGTGAGTTGTCTGCCGGGAGCAGGGTGGGAACGACCCTGAGGACAGGCAGAAACACGAGCGGGCGGCGCGGCTCCCTGCAGGTGCAGGTGCAGCCAAGGAGAGCTCAGGCTGGCGCCGTGTCTGAGAGAACCCAATTCTGGGAGCACCCCCTGCCCCCCCCAGTGTTACATTGTAATATATGTTCCCACTAACCTGGCTCATAGCGGCATCTTCTGCGGACATTTCAGCCTGTAACTCGTGAGAGAAAATGAACACAGATGGAAGTGCTGCTGCCTGTGCGCCGTGTGTCCGCGCCGCTCGAGCCCCCTTCCCGCCGCCTCTGGGAGGGCCCCGCGCAGCTCCTGCGAGGCCTGGCTTCCCTCCCACGCGCAGGCCTCAGGGAGCTGCGTGCCTGACCAGCAACCTACGAGGCTGTCCATGGGGGGCACGAGGCCAGGCTTCCGGGGTACAGTGGCCATTTGGTGCCTCCCCAGGAGGAGGAGAGGCGGACCCCTCACTCATTGAGCCCACCATTCATTTGTTTGCAGGGATGCGTTACTTAGGAACCAGTGAGGGTGGGTCTGGGTCATTCTGCCCTGCGTGCTTGGGACAGGCTGGAGGAATGTGGCCTCGGCTCAGGGCTTTGGGCCTGGCTCCGCAGCTGACAGCCACGCGGCCGCAGGTGAGCGGTGCTCTCTTCCCCGGTCGCTCCGGCTGGAGGTGGGATGCGCCAGCTCTGCCTCGTGAGGTCTGCGCCGCAGCGGTGTCTGCCGAGCTGTCGCCACTGGCATGACTGAGCGTGAACTGGGTGCCCAGCACTTTGCAAACAGCTTCACCCCATTTCATCCTCCTCATTTAAAAACCACACAAGTGAACTATCACAACCATGACGAGTGCCCCAAAGAAGAGATGCTTGACATGAAAGGTGAGTCTGGTTTGCGATCCACACACAAAGGTCAGTCCAGACAGGCTTGACAGGTGACTTACGCCGGACAAGCAGGTGGCTCCGGTCTTCCCCGAGCCCCTGAGAGCAGAAGGGACAGCTCCCGCTGGTCTGTGAGCTGCCTCCGGCACACCCAGGCGAGGGCAGCACGAGGAAATCCCGGGCGCAGAGCCCCGAGCCCGCGCTGTATAGAAGCAGTGCCCTGAGCAAGCCGGGCTCGTCCTCAGATGCAAGGACGGAGCGACAGCACGTTGACCCCATACGCTAGACCCCAGTTTGTGCGACTCACCCTGTTCTCTAAGGGCTCGTCGTTCATCCCAGACCTGCTGGCTGCTGTGGGTGGTTCTGGCAGAAGGGGACACATCCCCTCAAAAAATTAAAAATGGGGTTGCCACATGACCCATTGGTTCCACTTCCCAGTAAATATCCAAAGGAACCCCGAACAGTAATTCAAGAGAACACATGCACTCCTGTGTTCGCTGCAGCATTATTCACAAAAGCCGAGATGGAGACACAGCCAAGTCTATCAGTAGACAAGTGGGTCAGAAAGTGGTGGTGCATCTGCACCTTGGGACACTCCTCAGCCAGAATACAGACCGCGTCTGACCATCTGTGCGCATGGTGGACCTGAGGGTGTGGTGCTGAGGGAAATAGCTCAGTGAGAGAAAGACCACCACCACGTGAGCTCACATCTGCACCTTGGGACACTCCTCAGCCAGAATACAGACCGCGTCTGACCATCTGTGCGCATGGTGGGCCTGAGGGTGTGGTGCTGAGGGAAATAGCTCAGTGAGAGAAAGACCACCACCACGTGAGCTCACTGACATGGAGTCTAAGGAACAAAGTCAGTGAAGACCGGGCGTGCCTCTCTCCCCGCCGTGGCAGATTCGAGGTTGGCATGCCGAGCCCAGCGGGAAAGCCCCAGTGGGACCACCCCACTGCCCACATGGACTTGACATGAACTAAAAAGGAGCTTGTGCTAACCAGGCTGAGATTCAGAGTTTATACATTCTCACAGAGAACGCAGAGAACAGGCTAAAGGAAGACCACATCATCGTCACCTCAGTGGTCAGAAAGGCCCTGTTAAAAAGGCAACACCTGTCTGGCTGGTGTGCTCAGTGGTTAGAGCATCAGTCCTCAGACTGAAGGGTTGAGGGTTTGATTCCCAGTCCACAGCACTTAACCTGCATTGAGGTTTAATCCAGCCCTGGTCGGGGTCGTGTGGGAGGCAACCAAACAATGTGTCTTCTCTCACATCGATGTTTCTCTCTTCCCCTTGCTCCCTTCCACTCTGTCTACAAATTATTGGGAAAATATCCTTGAGTGAGGGTTAACAACAAAAAAATGCATCACCCATTCATAATTTTTACTTATTTAAAATTCTTAGTTAACTAGAAATCAAATACCTCCTTAATCAGATAAAGGTTACCTTCCAAAATCCTATGCAAACATTATACTCAATGTTGAAATATTCAAGACGTTTTGTTTAAAATCAGACAAGGTAAGGAACTCATTGTCAACATGTCTGATATTGTGCCGGAGATCCTAGCCAATGCTGCAAGAAAGTAACTATGAGGTTACTAAGAAAATCTATCCAGGTGGTTAGCTGTACAACCAGATAAAATGAAACACATTTCTATATACAATCAGCAACAAGAAAACATAATTCACAAGTCTTGAAGCACTAGGAATAAACCCAATAAAAGATATGAGACTTTTATAGAAAAAAAAGTGATAATCCAACAAGAGAACATAACATTTGTAAATATGTACCTAACAAAGGAGCACCTAAATTTATAAAGGAAATATTAACAGACCTAAAGGGAGAAATAGACAGCAATATGATAATCGTAGGGGACTTAAAAACCCCACTTGCATCAATGGATACGTCATCCAGACAGAAAAATCAACAAGGAAACATTGGCATTAGCCAGTACGTTAGACCAGATGGACTTAACAGATACATACAGAACACTCCATCCAAAATTAACAATACACACCCTTCTCAAGTTTTATGGAATATTCTCCAGGATAAATCCATGCTAGGCCACAAAACAAGTCTTAATAAATGTGAGAAGATTGAAATCACATCAAGCATCTTTCCTGACACAATTGTATGAAACTAGAAATCGATTACAGGAAAACTAGAAAATTCACGATAGCTGGAGATTAAACAACATACTATGGAATAACCAATGGGTCAAAAAGAGAGGTCAAAAGAGAAATATCTTAAATGAAAATGGAAATAAAACACACCAACATTAATGGGATACAGCAAAAGCAGTTCTAAGAGGGAAGTTCATAATGATAAATGCCTGTATCAAGAAACAAAAATCTCTTCTGTACACCTGAAACTAATATAACATCGAATGTCAATTGTAATTGAAAAATAAAAAAATTGCCCAGCCAGTGTGGCTCAGTGGTTGAGCATCGACCCAGGCACCAAGAGGTCGCCAGTTTGATTCCCAGTCAGGGCACATGCCCAGGTTGTGGGCCCGATCCCCAGTGGGGGCATGCAGGAGACAGCCAATTGATGTTCTCTCTCATCGATGTTTCCATCTCTCCCTTCCTCTTTCAAGTCAATAAAGGAAAAAAAAAAATTTTTTAAGAAAAAAGTTTAGAAAAAAAATTAAAAATAAAAATTACAAACATGTGCCCTGGCCGGTTTGGCTCAGCAGTTAGAGTGTCGGCCCGCTGACCAGAGAGTCGCTGGTTGGATTCCGGTCAAGGGCACGTACCTTGGTTGCAGTTCGTCCCTGGTCCTTGGTCAGGGTTGTGCAGGAGGCAACCAGTTGATATGTCCCTCTCACATCGATGTTTCTCTCTCTCTCTCCCTTTCTCTCTCCCCCTTCCACTCTATCTGAAGATAAAATAGAAAAAATATCCTTTAATGAGGATTACATTTTTTTTAATTTAAAAAAATTACATAGATGTTCTTTCATTAAATTATAGGTGTAGGGGCTGTAAGCAGTACCTCACTTAGTTTTTCCTTAAGTACAACACTTTATGTTTTTATCAATCTACAGTTTAATGAGAAATTCTTGTAATACAGAATCAAAAGACTAGAGAAATCTGCTCTTATTCAGATCTGGGCATTGGTAACATGGTGTGTTCAATCTGAAAAATTCACCGAACTATATAATTTGTGCTATATATTTTTCAGTTTATAGTTGTACTTTAGTTTAAAATAAAAACTTAAAGTCTGAAAGTTCAACAAGAAAGAAAGAAAAACAGAAATCTCAAACACTCTAACTGGACAGCTCAAGGAACTAGAAGAACAAACAAAGCCCCAAGTCAGTGGAAGGATGGAAATAACAAAGATCAGAAGCGGAAACAAATGAAATAGAAACTAAAGAGTCAACGGGAAAGCTCAGTGGAATGAAGAGCTGGTTCTTCAAAGAGATGAGCCTGGCCAGTGTGGCTCAGTGGTTAAGCGGACTGAGAGGTCCCGGTTCGATTCCTGGTCAGGGTACAGGCCCAGGTTGTGGGCTTGATCCCCAGCTGGAGGTGGGCAGGAGGCAGCCAACCGATGTTTCCCTCTCTCCCTTCCTCTCTCTAAAAAATGAATGAAAACGTTTTTTAAAAAGCTGACTGTGCCAGTTATCCATTGCTTGCTCCTGGTGGCCAAGCCTACCCTTCAGTGCCCCTGCCACCGTCAGTGAGCCTGGGTTCGCTCAGTGCTCAGTGCTCGGCCCTGACTTCCTGCTCTGACCACGTGGCAGCAGGGGCAGGTGCATGCAGACGTCCAGAGGCTCCGTGCCCGCTGTGCCCCCACCTCGCGGTCTCGGCAAGCTCGCAGCTCAGCCCCGGCCTGGCCACCATCTGTCTCCCTGGGGTCCCCCAGACTTGGACACTGCACACCCCAGTCTTATGCCACCCTGCTGGCAAGCAGGCTCCCAACTCCCTCTGCACACCACGGCCAGCCTCAGCCCATCACCTCCTGGGGAGCATGCTCACCCAGCTCTGAGCTCGCTCGGGCCTGAGCAACCAGTGAGCTCTGAGTCCAGCCTGGGGGGCTTGGACCCTCTACATTTTGCCTTCCCTGCGTGTTCACCTTCAGCCCAGGGTGACTTCAGCACTGTCTTATACCTTCATAGTTCTCTGAGAGCTATTAAGTCTTCACCTTAATCTTCCTCTCTTCAAATTACTCCATATTTATATCCTGATTGGTCCTTGACTGGAAAACACCAGCCCTAGACTCAAGGAGCCTGTGAACCCCAAGCAGGATAACTAGAAAGGAACGTACGTCTCAGCACAGTGTGGTTCAGCTTCTGGAAACAAAGACAAACACCTTTAAGCAGACAGAGAAGCGAAAAGGACACATTACCTTCACAAGTCTGGCCACTAGACTCCTGGACAGA